TTAAAGTACAGTGAGGACTCAGGTATCCACTATGTTTAATTTATGTACCGATATGTTACAATTGAATGGTTTATATTAATTAAAACAATTGAATTTGCACAAATGCAATTTTGTACTGTTGTCAATTAAAATTCAAATGGGTGTAAATTATTCACACTCCTGAATTCAGCCAGTCAATCATAATATCCTTAGATTAACAAGGTCTCTGTATGAAAAGTTAACAATGCATATGACTGACATGAAGGTTAAAAAAATGTAATGAAACATTCTATTTGCGTATAATTTATTTTGAGCGTGTTTTTGTACATACTTGTTAGCTCTTAACGTCGGTATACGTATTGTTACAGAATATCGGCAGCTGGCGTATACACCAACTATCGCATGTTGTAAGCAATTCACATCATGAATGATCTCAATTATAGTTCCAGTAACCATAATATGTATAGTATTACATGATACCTTATTGCGTTTTCATACTACCGTATCCTCGATAAACCGCGAAACATGATACTTATTAAGCCACTGAGATATATTGGCAAACGAATTCTTTGCAGCCTAGCCTCTAGATAAATTGCATGAACGCGATGACGGAGTCACTGACATTACATTTTGGCACTGGCAGTTTTATGAAATTTTAAGGCAATATTTACTCATATTTTTTATATATTTATTAACAGGTCAGTAGCACCAGTTTCAGACATAGGACTATATCTTGCAACGTTAACGTGTGTACGCATAAACTTATTCATCAATTAATGACTATGTGCGAATGCAATAATTAAATACACTCTTGTAGTTGAAAATAAGTCGTGTCATAGTTTCCTCTTACAAAACATAAAAAAGATTATGGCAGTGGACTCAAGCAAACCTGTATATTATGATGATGCTGATTAGGATGCTTCGACATTTACATGGCAATTTTTTAAATGTTGTGTTTAGCCAAATATCAAATAAAATCTTAGCAAAAAAAAAAAAAAATCATCTACCACAGGAAAAAACGCAACGCCTTACAATTAAACCGCAAGTAAGTTATTATTAAAAATATATATAGCGGACAGGTTTTGCTGTCGATGCGTTGTCCATGATCTCGTCTATCGAGGTCGTCATATACATATTGATGGGGTTGTACCCACCTAGAATACAGCCGGTTGCTGTTTTACAATGTGTAAAGTGATGTTATAATTAACAAAATGAGTTTCTTAGTATTAGAAGGAGTTTCTTGCACAGAACTATAATACTTATTGGGTTATTTCTTTATAGATGTTTAATATTAATGTGTCGAGATCCGTATAGTACTATATTAACCTATCAAAACCATAATCCGAAAATGTATAACTATAAAACGTGATAAATCAATGTTTAAACAACTTCATAAATCAATTAATTTAATCTCCAAGCATCGGAATTTTGGTCCATAATGGAGTGGGTGGAACAGGACGCCTGTGTCCGCTTGATGATTATTGTCTTAGTTCCCAATTTTTTATCTGAATGGTGGATTTTTTGTGCCATAGCAGTGACTATTACAGTTTCAATTTATCACAATTTCTTTTTAATCGTGGTAATCCGAGACACTATTTGATGTCTCAATTATAATAAAAGGCTGGGTTTGACGAATTCAAAGCTGGACTAGAGTTGGGATAGCACTGGTAATCTTTATCGACAGATACTATGTGAGAGGTCAAACTGGTTTTAGGGTTCTGCCAAGGCAAGCCGGGCTGAGCAATTTTTTATTCACTCTTATAACGTGAGACCAGAGCTTTAACAATACTTCAGTTAGCCAGATTCTAGCCTGCGTGCTGACTAGCTAAGATTATCTGAATTACCGAAATAATCAAATAAATAATACTTTATCTTGTATATATGCTTTTATCAAACCCTGTGCTCTGACTTACGGGTCAGAGCAGAACGTAGTTTAGGGAAAATCGCGATACTATCAACTGGCTACATCATGTTCAAACATTCATTTCAAATTAGGCATCCATCTTGTTTTGTAGTTTCATGATGACCAAAAATCGACAATAAACCAACCTGTTTACTAAAATACTCATACGTATGCGTATCTGACATGCCATTGACACAGTAATATTTTTGTTAACAACTAGCAATGTTATGTTATGAAAGAACATACCTAACAGTAGGATGTATGTGTTCCGGCGTATATTGTTCTTAAATGTTTAACAAACATTGCTCTTTCTTATATTTTCAATATCATTTTTGATAGCTCTACTTATAATGTTGTATTGATAGCGTGTTTTATCACTGCTTGTAGACTTGAACTAACTTCCAATGGTTTACCAGCTTTCAAACTTAAAGAGCAATGACAAATGAATGTAATACACGAATGAGGAACACAATTGTAACTTATTTAGCACATGCAGTAATAACTTGAAGCATGGTTACTCCCAAAAATAATGGATACGAACACGTAAAAAACAAAAATACTAATTTGAAAATGAAACCCTAACGATTTGGTATCATCATATTAAATGTGTAGATAGGTATTTGAGACTTCTTTATAAGGATATAGAATCGTTTCAAATGGGATTCGAATTAAAGGAAGACAAACAAAAGCTATTCACATTTAAACGTACTTCAAAATATTTATAATCGGAAGGCCAGCTGCCTACCGCGATGATGTAAGGGCTGATTTATTAAAAGTCAGATAAATGTTATCTTAGGAATAAAATTGTTGCTGTCACTGTCTTATACAAACATTCTGACGCGACAGCATCATAATTATGCCCCAGGTAAATTTAATCGAACCACTGAAAAATCAGCCCTAAGTTAACAAAGCAATTCAACGCCCAGCAACAAAGATCACATTTCGCTTTAGCTTATAAATATCGATAGTTTACAAACACAACAACGGTGATGACAAAAATACGACATAAATATAATTACTTTTGATATTACTAATATTGTACTCTGCACGAACAATGTAATACAGAAGCAATGAGATTTTATTTAGCATATTTTCATATAGATTGTAAGCATTGAAATATAATTATTATTTTATGAACACAAAGGAGCTAATTACTGTCTTTTTACATAATACATTTATTTTTATAAACAAGGTTTCTTGTTTTGGACAATAGACACATTTGGATATTAATATACAAATTGATATATTAAAGTAACAAAACATATTAAAATACAACGCCAGCATGACTTAGCAAGCTTGAAAGCAAGATAATTCGCTATTATGGAGCCGAATACGCCAAAACTTATACCATCTGTACAAATATCTATATAAAATATAATAATTATTCTTATACGACGAATGATAACTACTTATTATAGCCGTGACGTGCGCCATCTGCGTATGTGTGTGTGTAAATGAATAATTAAACATTGAGATGATTCAGTGGATGCGTCTCGAAAGATTGAATAGAAAAAAACATTTATTTAGCTTTGTATTAAGGTCCTATTTCCCGTTAAGAAAATCTCAAATCAAATTAAAATCATTATATTACTTATTTAACACGATGATCATTTCAAACATGTGCCGAATTAGGATCGTGATCGCAATAGATATTGAGCTGTGTCTAGTCTGATCACCACGAGACAAAGGAAAGGAGGAACTTGTAATTTATTTACAATTCTGTCATATAAAACATTTTGAAACACTAGGAGGTAGGGGTAAATTGGTACATTAATTGTATGTACATACTTATTAGGAATTTAAAGCATGGAGGGCTCTTCCCCTCAAGCCTTTCATTTTATAAATAGACGTCACGACTGTCTTCGATCAATAAATGCAGGGGTAAAAGAGAAAAATATATGTAGATCATTCCGACAACAACAAATTTTACGGGCCATTACATTCTCAGAACTAAACTTACTGGGTCGTAGGTTACAACCAGCCATGGTTATTAATGGCATAATGATGACATTGTTATAATGAACGCAACCTTTTAGAGATAAACGCTTGTTGGAACTCAACAACTAAACTTATTTATAATAACCGAATTCAGATAATGAGTAACACAGGTACTCGTAATAAAACGACGACGACGTTGAATGAATTTACTTTAGATAACATTGTAGATTTTGGACCATGTTACTTGATGTAATTAGATACTTTGTGTTAATTGTAATAAAAACTATTACAGAATACAATGTAAAGAACAGACATACACATTTATGTAGGTATTTTCAATATCTTTGAGTCCTGTAGTAAGTGTATTTAACTCGTATTTGGCATACTATGCCCGCCACAGAGGCTCGCGGTTCGCCTCGTTATGTACGGAATTCATAACAACTAGCGAAACGTGAGATATATATTTAACATGCACCTTGTCTGCCGCTGTCTGCATATTAGGAGAATATATGATGTGTGAAAAAGTGTTAACGCGGTGGAAGTTGGAAATGATACCAAGGCCACACAGAATACTGGCGTGACGCTTGCGTTGCATTTTGCAGTGGTAATTAAGTTACCTGGGGTTCTACACCTCTAATATTCCATCCTCGGATTGAAACCCACAGTGTGATGAGGTTTCTAGAGAAAGGGGTAGAGCACACCACACGCTACAAAAAATTAGCAAAATATGCCTCTCTATCTGTAAATATACCTAATTATATACTTTCCTCCGTAGATTACCTATTTGCATTCACATTTTGGCGAAAACATGAAGTAAATACGAGAATATTAAATAAATAAGGATCTAACTAGCTAATAAAATGATTGACACATCTCTAAGCAGTCCTGCCTCTATTCATCTCCTTAACCTTGCTACATGCCGCGAGCTCCATAAATCTACTTAATAAATACCGAAGCCCGAGTCGCATGCACTATTAAATTAAAGTTAATACAAAGAACACACGTAAACATGTTTTATCTACTTATGGACCTCGGTTTACACAACAATTTAAATAGATAAGTACATGTTTTTATTTTAGAATACGACATGTGTTTTAAATCATCGGCGTATGAATAATATTTCAGTAATTCATACCAATTTTTGTACCTGTCTTAAGAAATCTAGAGTTGGTTTACTTACTCTCAGTAGCATTGGCAGTTTTGTTGGATCCCGGTGTAGCATTGGACGATGTTGTGTTGCTCGTTGATGGCGCTGGATCTAGCTGCACGGAGGGAGGTGGTGTCTGTGTTAGGTTGGGCGGAGAACCCGCTGGTGAAGGCAAGGGCGGCGGAGGCACATCTCTACGCTGACGAAGACTGTGGTCGAAAGTCTCAATGTCATAGCGGAATGAACTCGAGCTTCCACTATCCAGAACATATTCTGGGTTCCATGCTGAAAAGAAAAAATACAAGACTTGTTATTGTACGTTTATTACAAGTTATGTTTGAGGTAGTAAGGACAATCAAAGATAAGATTCGGTAGGTAATACAGATGATGATGATGATGATGATGATGATGATATGATGAAAAATACAGAAACCTAACGAAGTCTTAGGAACTCATATTACTCAGTCGAATACAATAACAAATGAATATGTATTTATATAAATATGTAATTATAGTCAAAGAGCTCCATAAAGCAGAGGACTTATAAAATGATTCCAACATCATCCGTGTTCAACGCAACAACAATAAAATTGTAAGTGTGGGTCACAGAAAAGGCGTCAATTGCTATTATTGTACAGCGCATTGACAGTATTTGCTTTAATGAACAATTGCCTTCAATAAGCAGTGTAATAATGACTTAGATGCATGAGTCAAAGAGCAATTGTTTGTTTATTATATAGTCAATATGTACCAGGTGTCACGTTTGATAAACAAATAGCTGAGTGATATGTTTCTACCTTAGGCAAGTTTTTGTAATGAAACATAATTAGAGAAAACATTCTTTGTTACAACAAAAATATAACTGTTTTAGCTGTGATAGCTAAACTTGGTTTAAAAATACTTTACTGAATAAACCAGCTGATACATTGCGTCAGCGAATCCTAAATAAATTATTAACGCAATGGGCCATTTAATGCCATCTAGTAGAATATTCCTACATAACATAAAACAAAGTCGCCAACCGCCTTGTGTCGACTGTCGAGTATGCTTAGATCTTTAAAAGAAAGTGAGAGATTCTGGTGCGGTTTTTTAAAGAAATTTGTAATAGAATTATTCAAAAGAAATGTATAATTTATTAAGGTTTGGCGAGGTGATAAACTGTTTTGAATTAAATAATCTAATCTAGGAAAATTCCACATAGGCACGGGGTTCACAGAATGTTAAGATGTTGGACTAGGTACATAAACATATGTATACATCATACATACATATCACAATCTGTGATGTGCTTTTCAATTTGATAGGGCTTCACCTTGTCTTTTCACGCAATACAAGTAGATAGCAGTCGTTCAATTACTTATGTTGCTACAGTAATCTAGCCGTGTAAGTTTGACATCAATATTGACGTTTAATTTCCGCCAATAAGTGATACCACATGGAACCAATTGGGCAATCAGAGACAATCATCGATCCATTATAAACAATATATAGGTATAGCTATTCAACTCTGTAGTGCAGCTTTAGTATATAGGTATTATATAGAATCAAATTACGATTGCTATATTTCTCGAAGCTGGAAGTAGATCCAATTCTCGACTGTTTTTTACGGCGACAAATCCATGGTTCTAGATAGTAACAAAATGTGTATATGACCAGTTCTGACTGTATTGTAGTGAATTTAATCCGATATTTCGTGTGTATTACGAATATCAAACAAACAAATCAATGACAATCAAACAAATGAATCTATATGTATAAGGTTTAAAAGAAAGTTAATTCTGTGGCGGAACGAATTTTGCCAGGTCAGCTAGTTCTTTATAAAATACTTGTTTATACTTTAATTAATTAATGGCTTAGGGAAAATAAAGGTTCTCTGTACACCAAATAACCTAAGCGTTTAAATCATAAGTTATCTAGAGCTATAATTACTTATACGGATAAATCTACTGTTTCGATAACCCGTGGTTCATATATGTCATTGACCACTGTTATGATTACATTTCGCAGCCATAACACGTTGTAATTTGTCCCACAGTGAAAACTAGCACTATGCGTCAATTCACAATAGCTTATTTCCTGTCTTTTCAATTAAAAACGTGCGTTGTTGTTCGTACTGTTTAATTTGTAAGTAGCAAGCTCCCCACGTTTATTTGTCGTTAACATTACCAGCATTAAGTGGGTGTTAGTTCGCGCACGATGTTAACTGATGTCGCTACTTTCTTCTGATAGTAAATTTTATATTATTACTTTTGTTTTGCTCACATTATTTTATCTTTTGAATACGTCTATATGAATACGTTTATTGCGTCACAATTTGAAATACTATAACTAAAATTAAGTAAATCTATAGTAGGTTGAAAACAGACAAGAAAGGTTTCGAGACATTACGAAGTTTCATACCTGTCGTTTCATTTTAGAAATACTGCTATAAATAGCGACCTTTGATCCTTTATAACATCATTGTGTTGCTAAAGAATTCTTTGCTGCATTGCCCATTCATTTTATTTATTTTTAATCATTTGTTATGAAAACAAAACATGAAATTTTCCTTGTATAATATAAGAAACTGAATCATTAAATGAGTATAGACAATTATTGCTAAACACAAAGAACTTGACTGATAAGGCAGCAGCAAAAATATTTATTTAAAATTCCAAGCACAATGAATTAGCTAGCTCACAAGTATATTATTAATTAAGTTTCCAGTATGCATTATGACTAATCATGAGACATGAGCGCGCATGTCTAAATAGACTTGCGTTTATTGCTAGAGAACTTGTAAAATCTACATGCGAACATGATTTTTAAATTAAAATTAATGTTAAAAAAAAATAACATTTATTTTAATTTTATTGATTTAAATTATACTATTTATTTCCGAACAGGGAAGAATAGGATGGAAAACATTACTTATTATTTTAATACTTATTTATCAATCATTGACATGGACATCAGGACGCACTTGTGTACTTGCCCACTGTCTAATGAACGGCCCATCAATTTTATCTGCCAGTATAGCTAGTATACCGTTAGGTAGCTTGCGTATAATGGCAGTCATCTATTCTGGCTTCCGCAAACATTCCAGATGCGCTACACCATTTTTACGACGAGGTTATCCATATTTTGAGATATATCCTATATCTTCGTTAAAAAAGGCAGTATTACGTTTCCCTGTCATCTAAACTAAGTCAGTCAAAACTCATTTTTCAAATAAAGGATTCTGCTGCTATATTTCTGTTTACCTAACCTTTTTCCGATTAATTCCTCGATATTATAATTAACTCGCGAAATTCCCATCCATTTCACAATATGTGCGACGGTTGGTTTTAAGTTAAACTATAGAATATGAACGGCCGTATGACTCATCGAATGAGGAAAAATTGTGGTAAGTGTAAGCAGTGTTTCTGCATTACTACTCTAAGTAGATGGGTGGCATATGATTCACGATATAAAATTTAAGCATTAAGGCTACTACGAATCCATCATATTCAAATGAGGTTACGTAAAAGGACGTTTTGCAAAGAAATAAAAAAAGATCTATGTAAATTAAATAGAAAATCAGTATTGTGTGCTGGTTGTGATGAGATAGATTTTATCCAAAAATAATGAAGAAGTACAGCCCTCCCTTTTAATCACGGCGCACGATGAAACGTTGTCAATATGGTGAATCACCCGTCTTGGGTCTTTTAATTTATAATAAAATTATGTCGATATGCTATCAGACTCGTATAAAAACATGTTTTTCTCAAAGTGAACTCGTTTGACAACTTAGATAAGAAATCATTTGATATTTGGACTAAAAGACCAGGAATATTAAGTTTGCACCATAAGAGACGGATCTAGATAAAATGAAAAACTATACTTGTCTAGAGATATATGAATCATCACAGAAATAATGTCAATTTTAATTAAGTTGGGACATGAGACCAACATACTCCGGTTTAAATAATTGAATGGCCTTCGGGGATAATAGCAATACGAGTATAGGGACAGTAAATAGAGTAAATAATAGAGATACAATGTACCATTAAAAGGAGATTAAAGCCACGACTCGTGTTCATTGGTAACACATTAGGGTTATAGAAGTTTTGATACTTGCTGTTACATAAAACTGCCCATGAAATGATTACGACTATATAGTAAACTAGAAGAAAATATCGATACAGTAGGTAGGTGCAGTAAAACGGTCAACAAAACCGCTTCTGATTTACTGTATTCTTAATCACACATCCTACCAAAAAGCTAAGGCTCTCAAGGCTGTGATAGATCAACAAAAAAAAAATAGATGAAGCCGGTACTCCCTATCTGACAACTCTGAGAAGAAATGCCGAAACAAACTCAGAGGTCAGTCTCCTTTAAAGTTCAGACAAATACAAAAATAATGTGGAATGACATTATTAGTGGTCTTTTAGGATAAGAAACACAAACCCACACAACCACATAATTAACTATTAACTAGCCCCTAAAATCTACGTTGGCTTCTAAATTATTAACACGAACATCTGAATAAGGCCAGTCAGGCCACTAATTAATCAATACGTATATGAACTACTTTAAATATTACTCCGCATTGGTGCTTATTATTCATTATGTAATCTAATAAGTATGTGGCACCGTAAATTACAAGGCAAATTAGTTTATTAGGCATTTTGTCTTATTTTCACGTGGTAGTAATTGAAAGTTTTGTATATTGTAACCACTTATACTTTTTCCAAATGACATACATATACAAAGGTACAGTTATTCAATAAACACATTTTGTTTTCTTATCAGCACGTTATTATAAAACTGCACTCATTTTATGGAGTAAGGTGATTATTTAATCCAAAAATCAATTAGCATAGATTAAATTATATTATGACTAAAATAAAAAAATATCGATTACAATGTTCTGCGTTTTTGAAAGCAAAGAAAAAGTCACCATTGTTTGAATTGAAGTGTGGTCCCTTAAACAAGTGCAATGAACTTACGATCTTGCATCCTTAAAGTTAAAAAATTAAAGTAAAATCTAATGTAATACTCTGGCTTACCAGTTTAATTTGAATATCTAAATACATGTGACGTGGTAGTCAAAATTGTACTAGCTAAATCGGTACAGTCGCTGACGAGTAATGCAAAGCTACCACCGGTAAACCATTGGAATCGTTTTTTTAATACAGTCTTCAATTTTGTTTATCCTTTCAAACGTTGAACTTTGCCTTTTACGAGTGATGCAATATATACAAAATATTTCTTGTTTAATTTTGAACCGTTTAACCTGTTGGCCTGCCTAATACAAGACAAAC